ACACCTTCTGGGCGCAGCGGTAGCACGTGATCATCGAGATCGGGACGCGCGGGCGGGCGGCGGCGGCGACGAGCACGTTCTCGGTGTGAGCGGACGACGACGGCGCGGCAGGGGTCTGGCGAGATTCCTCGTTCAGGAGGCGGGCGACAACGTAGTCGAGCGTGAGGGAATCGGCGGGGGTAGCGTCGAGGGTGACGACAAATTGTTCGTACGACGGCGGGAGTCCACTGGTGAGCACGAGGATGGTATCTTCATCGTCGAGGTTGGCGCCAATTTCGGCGAGCTGGAATGCGGCACGACGGACGTCGGCGATCCACGCGGACATGGACTGGTCTCCGTGCATAGCCATCTGGAAGAAGGCACGGCGGCGAGAGAGGCGCATACCAAAACCACGGGCCTGGTGGATAGCTCGGAGGTTCTCCCAAACTTCAGCAGCGTCCTGGCTCCGGACGTGTGGCAGCTCTGACGGCTCGATGTTGAGCACAATCTCAGCGCGGGCTTCGGCGGTCTTGCGCTTCCAAGCCTTGACGGCCTTCGCGTTGTCCGAGCCTAGCGGTCTCGTCTCTTCTCCGGAAGCGACATCCCAGAGACCCTTGCGCACAAGCAGGGCCTCCATGAGCATCGCCCATTCGGCGTAGTTCGTCTCGTTCAGCTTGAGGATCGTCGGCGACATGCTCGGCGTCAATCGGGGGGGTTCGATCGTGAGCGCAGCGGCGGGGTTCGTCGTTCGAGCGTCGGCCGGCGAGGTCAATCGCGTGTCGCGGGGGAGTTCAATCGAGTCGGGGTGCCGGACGAGGTCGATCGCGTGTCGTCACGGCGGGTGCTCCGAATGCCCTCGGAGTGGGGTTACGTGTTTGACCTCGCCGGCCGACGCTCGAACGACGAACCCCGCCGCTGCGCTCACGATCGAACCCCCCCGATTGACGCCGAGCATGTCGCCAATCTCGGCGAGCTGGAATGCGGCACGACGGACGTCGGCAATCCACGCGGACATGGACTGGTCTCCGTGCATAGCCATCTGGAAGAAGGCACGGCGACCAGTCTCGCGCTCCGGTCCCGTATACCCGGCGCCTATGTACCATCTAGTACGATCCCGCGCGATGCATACGATAGTGGCGGCGCACTGCTCTCTTATACCTCGCCCGCCCCGTACGCACGCCTTACGCGTTTGCTTCCCTCCCCCACCTCCGTCACTCGTTAATACACCGCGCAAACGCGCCGTTCGCCTTCCGCTCTCGTCTCGCGCACCCGCTCGACTCGTTCGACTCCCTCGCGCTCGCTAAGCGCCCGTCGCTCGCGCACCGAATCTCACATCTCGTATGTTTTGTTTGTCTTGTGCTGATTCATGGCGGCGCGTCCGCGTCTCGCGGACGCGCGATCTACGATACGGTCTTCTTTCCGGTACTGTACTTATACGCGCCGTCGCGCGTGAAGCTCACCTCGGTCCTGCGAATACGAGACTGAGGTGAGTATCATCATACACACATTTACTTGATTACCTTACTGATTAGCGACTTAGTATATCGCTCTATAGGTGCATAAGCTTGTATAAGTCTTGTAGCGCCGACAAGCGGCATTGCCCGCTACCTCTCAATATTTACAACAACTCGTGCACTCGTGCTCCGAGACTCCGAAAAGCGTGTCCCCTTGCAAGTCGTAACGACCGCACTACGCCGAAGCCCAAATCACCGTTTACGAGTAAGCTCCACCCAGCACGGATGCAAATGGATCACTGCGAGAGGCTCATTCATCGATGTCGCGCTGCTTTAAGTTTGGGTCCCTGAGCGCAGTTGCAGTTGCACCGTCACATCTTACCCTCTGGACGTCCGAAAAGCAGGAGTCTCACAAGCCCCGCGGATACGCACGACGGCGCTGTGGCCCCCTCGGACAAGTCGGCATGGTCATCGTCACTGGCGCACGCGGGTCCTTGGCTTTGTGCAGCCACATGTAGGCCTATTTCCTCGCGACCCAATTGACTCACCGTGTGGCACCTCTCTCAAAGAGCGACGAGCAAGGCCAGCCTTTCGAAATGTGTTCAGCGTGAACGTCGGACGTCCACCCTGATAGTGTGACGTTACAATGAGTAGCATCTGAAATGAGCAAAGTTCGACGGTGGCATGCACGACGGTCAAATGATCATTCAGATGCACAGGACTTGGCGAACTTCTGTACGCTGGGAGCTGGTAAGTGCACGGGTGCATGGAGATGATTGGCCTCTGATAGGTGACCGACCTGTAGAAATTAGAATCATGAATGTACGGGATGATGTTGCACACCAGGTGTTTCCCCGACCTTCTGCGTGGAAAATTTTGGGCGACGTGTGCACACTGGGATAATATGAGCAGTTCCAGGGATGCGAGTCCATGCTGTGGCCGGATGGGGGTCTCTTCGTGGCCTCCGAGTCAATGAGACAGAATGGCAGCGCTGTGCTTATTGATGTTTTGTGCTTCAGTGGCGATCATACCCTGCGTGAATTATGCTTGAGCTTTGGAACGTACAATGAGGCCAGCCATTGCAAACGTAAGTGGAACACAGAGTGACGGTTGAGTACGTTGAGTACTGAGTCGCAAGCCTGTCCTCGAACAGATTCCAATTCCGGTGAGGGGGAGGTATGCGTTACATAAGAATCACGTGTACACATGACTTCTCACGTGAAATGAAATTTCTTGCGGGGCACCCTATAATAATGCAGACCATGAAGACCCACTACCTAGAAGGTAGCGGGGATTATTAAGTCCTGCAAATACGCGACTGAGTATATCACTCTATACAGAGACCTACCTATACCGTCTCGTGGGTTTCGTATAGAGGGGTAGGGTGTTGTCACATCCGGTCACTCTCGCTCCACCTGGACGTGTGCACAACCTCTGCAACCTCCTACGCCATTCCGCCAACATTGGTGCTATGGACCTGCAAAAATTGTAACCCACTTGAATCCGACTAAAATGGTGGATGTGAGTGTGTGCGTGATATTTCCTGAGCTCACCAGCGATAATCTGGGTGGCACAGACCACGTGAGGCATACACATTTGAGCAAAGTTGCAGAGGTTGTCTCATACTGGCAAGGGTGGGGTGCCCAATTGGGACATGATGAGGTGCATCTGATGGGTTGACAGACTTTGCTGTCACGCAAGCATGACAACCCCCCGCCCACCTGTCCAAAATCCACCAGATGGTATAGTTTTAAGGCTGAACATGGATCTACCAAAGGATTATCTGGACCCGAACCTATGGGTAATTCACGAGTGACAAGGCCAACCCAGACCTGCACGGATCTCACCCACAAAATGACCTGAATCCATACCCAAACCCATAACCCGTAGGTGGAGCTGCATGAGACCCAGAGTGAGACTTAGCCGCAAATGCTATATAGTTATCTGTTAAAATATCTCACACATGTGAAAATGCGCACCAAGACACTACAAAATGTCAAAACATTGGTGACAAGGCAAGAGCCCTAAGCAAGCATATATTTGAACCATTGGGACAAGGGAGACACACAAAACATAGTGGTATATCGGGTATAAGGCAACCGTAACATTAGTTGAGCACAATGACATGATCGCCCACATTGGCGCCATTTGGGGCAGGCTGTGCAACATCCGCAGCACGCCTCTTACCTGTGCTGTGCTGACAAATGACCTTAATGAGGTCAGCTTTGGGTAGAAGATCAGCAATGCGAGCCCACGAGCCCAACACAGTTTTGGCGTGGACAGACTCATCTACAAGCGAGCACCGGAGGCAGGAGATGGTGAGGCGGTCATGTGAGAACACGTGCTCAGCGTCTGTCAATGTAGCTAAAATGAAAATGAAGTGTCAGTATTGTGCCATGTCAATAGATATGGAATGAGTAAATGATGTACCTGGAGCTGACAGGAAATCAATGGCCATCTGAGCAAGGGTGTGCTCGCCGCTAGACTCAGATGTTGACTGAGCACCAAGTCCCAGTACTTGAGGGGGTCGGTGATGGTGTCAGCTGGGGGCTCCTCCAAGTACTTCTTTAGAGCATTGGTGTGTCCAGCCTTGGCAGTGCCACCAATGGCTGCAAAGCACTTTTGGGTGCTCTACAATGTGAATGAGTAAGCAATAGTCGCAATAGGTATCCTACAAAGTAAACATACTGCGGATGCGGCAGACGCCGCAGCACTGCATCAACCAGGGCCTGATCGAGACACAGACACCAGCGGTACTGGAATGGCAGGGTTCCTGGTGGGCATGGGAGCCTGGTCCTTGGGGCAATAGTTACTCATCCATTCATCTTCGAGGATTGTGCAGGCCTCCGTTATCCACTCCTCGGGCCAGGACTGATCCTTGAAGTATTGAGTATTGTACTGAGGGTGAAGCACTGCCAGGACACATTAGTACACAATCAGCCTGATAGCAAGCAAACACTTACTCATTGCGATGTGGTACATGATTGTGGTGTCCGTCAATGTGTAAAACTTGTCCAAGATGACGTGACTGCATTTGGCACACCATGAACGGCCAGGAGCAGGGAGTCATTGGCAATGAACTCATTGACGTGTTCAGTAAGGAGGTCCATAAACGGTATGACCTTGTGCACGAGCCTGCAGCTGCTGTGCAAGATCTCATTGGTCGAGTAGACAAAGGGCTTCCAAAAAGAAGGGCTGGTCAGTGTGGGTTCGCTCATTGGGATCCAATAGCTACTCACATTGAGAAGCCAGTACAACTGATCAAGTACGGTCCAGTCGTCCTTGGTGAGAAGGAACTGGCGAAGACGAACTCCACAGGGCTTGTTAAACTGTGCCGATCACTGAGCACCTCCTCTAGCTCCAGCACCCTCTCGATGATGGCAGCAACAGTGTTCCAGTGTGGTGCGATGGAGCGCACAAGGACCTCGCTATGAATGTCCAGCACGTTGTGGGTGAGTGTCACGGGCGCTGCGTGCACAAGAGGACTATTCCATACTTTCTTGGAGAGCTTCATAACCTACAAGAATGATCAGTACAATGAGAACTTGACATGATCCAGGCAGCACACCTTCTCAATGGCCAGTTGGCCCTCCTTGATGTCCTGAGCAGTTAAGGTGATGTCAACATTGTTGTTAACCATGTCGTCAAGCTCAGTGTTGTCTGCATCCTCGCACACTTGATCAGCCTCCTGTTCGGCTTTGAGGTCGTCTTCGTTGACGTCCTCTGGGTCGTCCAGCGCAGCAAGGTCGGTGATGAAGATCTGAAGTTTGAACCTGCCGCCTGGTCCGAGTTGAAGGCGAGGGTGAGAGCGTTGACCAGCACAGAGGAGGAGGGAATGAACCTAGATATTTTCAAGGTTGTACTTGCGAGAGGGTCCTAGAATCGAGTAGGGAAAACTCAGTCTCGCTGACACGGGTGGTGGCAAGAGCTGAGGAGCGACAAAAGAAAAAAGCGAGCAAAGTGTCGCAGACGCGATTACATAAGCTACGAAATAGACGCTTAGTACCGTAAAGGGAAATAAGCCTCAACGTGTGTCGAGGCCGGTGAACCACGTATCGTACTTCAACACGCCCACTCAGCGGTGGAGACATAGCTAGTAATGTATGTAGATGTTCAAGACAAACCTAAGGAAGATGTAAAGTAAGAGTGCTTCTCGCGTGAGAGGGCCTTCGTCAAGACGTCCGTGGTCTGGTCGCCCGTCGGAACGTACTCGATGTCAGGCGTGCCGCGCTCGAGCTCGTCGCGGATGAAGTGGTGCCGCACGGCGATGTGCTTCGTCCGGTCGTGGAACGACGCGTTCTTTGCGAGCGCCATGGCTGACTGGTTGTCGACTAGGATGAGCGGCACGGAAGGGCCGCGGCCTGCGGCGCGCGTGACGGGAGAGTCGAGGTCGTTCAGGAGCGTGGTGAGCCAAAGCGCCTCCTTGGCGGCGGACGCGAGTGCGACGTACTCGGCCTCCGTGCTCGACTGGGTGATCGACTGCTGCTTGCGGGAGCACCAGCTGATCGCGCCTCCAGCGAGCAGGAAGACGTACGCGCTGGTGGAGCAGCGGTCGTGCCGGTCACCAGCCCAGTCTGCGTCGGAGTACCCGAGCGGCGTGAACGTGTCGTCCATGGCGTCTCGCCCGTATGTGAGCTTCAGCGAGGACGTGCCCCGCAGGTAGCGGAACATCCGCATCAGCGCGTTCCAGTGCGCATGACCGGGGTTCGCCGTGTGCTTGCTGAGAGTGCCGACCACGTACGCGAGGTCGGGGCGCGTCCCGAGCATCGCATACATGAGCGATCCGAGAGCGCTCTGGTAGGACTGCGGCTCGATCTCCGGCTCACCGAGCTTCTCGAGCTTGAGGTTCGCCTCCATTGGAGTGCTGACCGGCCGTGAGTTGGCCATGCCATAGCGCTCGAGGATGCCCTCGACGTAGCGGCCCTGCGAGATGGTCAGTGTACCGCGTGCGCGGTCACGCTTGACTTCCATCCCGAGGATCCAGCGAGTGGGGCCGAGGTCGGTCATCTCGAAGCGAGTCCCGAGCGTCGACTTGAGAGAGTCGACGGTGGCGCGGCTGTTACCGACAATGAGCATATCATCGACATAGAGGGCGATGATGAGGAGGACGCCGCCCTCGAATTTTGTGAACAGGCTATGGTCAGCGTCGCTGCGGCGGAAACCGAGTGACTCGAACTCAGCGCGGATCTTTTTGTACCATTCACGGCTGGCCTGCTTGAGGCCGTAGAGCGACTTCTTGAGCCGCCAGACGTGGCCGTTCTTGCAAGAGGAACCCGTCGGTGCCGCCATGAAGATCTCCTCGTCTAGGTCGCCGTTCAGGAACGCCGACTTGACGTCCATCTGGTCGACTTCGAGATCGAAGAGAGCTGCCATGGCGAGGAGCGTGCGGATCGAGGAGAACTTGGAGACAGGCGCAAAGGTGTCCGAGTAGTCGACGCCTTCGACTTGCGTGAAGCCTTTGGCGACAAGGCGGGCCTTGTAACGCTCGACGGAGCCGTCGGGGCCACGCTTGACCTTGAACACCCACTTGCAGCCAACGACCTTGCGGCCGCGAGGTTTCTCCACCTCATCGTAGAGCTCAGCCTTAGCGAAGGCGAGTAGTTCCTCCGCACACGCAGCCTTCCACATGTCCACATCGGGGCGGGACATGGCTTCCTCATACGTCTGTGGTTCGTCGTCGAGGAGTGAGGCACGGTGCACATGTTCATCGCCCACTGGACCCAGCAGGTCCTCCACCTCCGCCTCGTTCTCGCCGCTTTCCTCATCGCTCTCCTCGTCGCTCTCCTCATTCCTCCCCTCGACAGTCGCGGGCTCGACAGGAGCCGGCCGCGGCTTCGGCTTGCGGTTGTAAGAGGACACCTTCAGGGAAGGGTCGTCATCACGAAAACGCGGGTGTCGCACACGAGTAGAGCGGCGTGGAGGAGGGAGAGGAGGAGCAGGGGGTACGGGAGGATGTGCCTCCCCTTCATCAGGGACATCCTCGACCGTGACCTTGAACGTGGGAGGGGTAGGCGGCGCCTGTGTGGCAGCAGGAGCCGGTGTGGCAGCAGGGGCGGGAGCGGGAGCAGGGGGCGGGGCCGCAGGGATGGCCTCAACGTCCACAGTGACGCGATGTGGCGTGTCTCCCTCGTCGAAGACAACATCGCGCGACTCATAGATGCGCCCACTGGAGCGGTGCAGTAGCCTGTAGGCGCGCTTGTTCTTGGACCAGCCGACGAGGACGCACTCGATCGACTTCGGGTCAAGCTTGCGGCACTTTTCGTCCGGGATGTGAACGAAGGCCTTGCAGCCGAAAGGACGGATGTGGGCAACTGAGGGCGTCGCGTGTCTGCTTGCCAAGGAGACACGGCGAGCACGGGGCGACTGGACGTTTGAGTGAGCCGACGAGATCCATGCCTTTGACCATCCCGCTTCGGACCATCTTGAAGACAGAGTCGAAGTTCAGATGGCCGAGGCGGCGGTGCCAGGTTGTAGCGTCTGCGCGTGACTTGCGCGAGCCGTTCGCAACGAGTGCATGGAGGTCTGGAGTCGGCCCGGGGTCGATGTGGCCCGCAGCGCTGTCCAGGTCCGATCGGGCATCGAGCTGCGTGATATACACTCGCTCTTCTCCGGCCAGAGGTTCCGAGTGGAGAACATACAGCCCCTCGTGCTCCGAGGCGGTCACAATGCGGTTGCCCGTAGAGTCGACGATGGAGCAGCCGCCTTGTTCGAAGTTGACGGCGTACCCTCGATGGACGAAGTGTGAGACTGAGAGGAGGTTGCCGTCGAGTTCCGGGACGTAGTAAACGCCCGGGACGATGGCCGTCTCACGCTCGTTGCCTCGTTTGAGACGGAGGGAGACGCTCCCGATGCCGGTCGCGAGGATGTGTCGCTCGTCGCCTAGCCAGACGCGCTTCGGAGTGTCGAGCTCCTTGAAGGACACGAACCAGTCGCATTGAGAGCTCATGGGTGAGGACGCGCCGGAGTCGACGAGCCACTGCGTATGGCGGGGTTGGCCGTGGAGGGCGTTGGCGACAAAGAGACGGATGGTCTCGTCGCCGTGGTTGACCAGCGTAACCTTAGCTACAAGGTCGCCAGTCTTCTCCTTCACCTCCTTGGCGATGGCGGCAGAGGCTTGCTCCGCCTTGAGCTTCCGGCACTCGTCCTTCGTGTGTCCGAGCTTTTGGCAGTGTCCGCACTTCGACTTCCCAGGCTTCGAGCTCGACTTTGCCTTCGTCGGCTTCAATGCGGCGGGGTTCCCTTTCTTGTACGACGTTCGGGCTAAGAACGCGGACTGAGGGCCGGTGTGCTCCTTCCGACTCTTCTCCTCATTGAGGACTTGGGAGATGACGGTGTCGGTGGAGAGTGTGGCGGACGAGGACATGAGGATGGTTCGGAGAGTGGCGTAGGAGGCGGGGAGGGATGTGACCATGGCAATGGCCACGAGTGAGTCGTCGAGAGTCTGGCCGAGCTGCTCAAGCAGGCGAGCCTTGAGCTGCATGGCGTCGAGCTGTGTCTCGAGCGAATCATCGTCGGAGAGCGTACCGCGGAAAAGCTCCCCAATGAGCGTCGCTATCGTCTGCTTTCCCTTCCCTTCGTACCTCGACAGGAGCTTGTCCCATGCTTCGGCGGACGTCTTCGCGAGCATGACACTACTGAGTGGAGCATTGTCGAGGGTGAGGGATATCTGGAGCTTCGCGAGATGATCGCGCTCCATCCACGAGTGCGCCGTGGTCGCGTTCGAGTCGGTGGGACACGGTTCGGTCTTGCTAACGATCCCCCAGAGCTTTCGCGTCTGAAGAATCATTTGTAAGCGAAACTTCCACATCGGGAAGTTGCTGCCGTCGTCCTTGAGGTTCGCGATGTCGAACAGACGGTTCGATTGCGCGGCCGGGAGCGACGATAGCATGTCCTGTGCTGACTGCGTAGGTGCGGGTGTGGAGCCGGTAGCCGGCTTCGCATCGGCAGGAGTTGTCGACGGATCGGGGTCGGGCTGACCGGTGGTAGGGGAAGTCATCGTGTTGCGATGCTGTTGAGCAAGATCTTATCGGGTAGGATCTTCTGGGTTTTCTGCTAGAGCGTCCTAGCAGGGCTCATAACCTTTTCAAGGTTGTACTTGCGAGAGGGTCCTAGAATCGAGTAGGGAAAACTCAGTCTCGCTGACACGGGTGGTGGCAAGAGCTAGAATTGTGTACCTAGAATCGAGTAGGGAAAACTAATGTAATGTCAGTTAAATCTAGCATGATTCTAGGGTAATAGAAAAGTGCATACCTCAGTCTCGCTGACACGGGTGGTGGCAAGAGCTGAGGAGCGACGAAAGAAAAAAGCGAGCAAAGTGTCGCAGATGCGATTACATAAGCTACGAAATAGACGCTTAGTACCGTAAAGGGAAATAAGCCTCAACGTGTGTCGAGGCCGGTGAACCACGTATCGTACTTCAACAAGATAGCCTGTGTGCACCTAGATAGAGGGAGAATGACAAGCAGAAGACAATCTGAACTACGCGTGAGCATGTCCGAACACAGAGCGCAGGCAGCAATACAGCAACGGTGGGCAACAATGAGCGACGAGGGTGAGCGAGCCATGCGGGCTGCAAGACTTGAGACACGAAGTCAGACAGTGCACAAAGAGGGGAAAACAAGCTGGATTGTGAGAACGTCGGTCTCTGGAACATATGGGGGCCCGGCTCGTGCTACAAGTGCCTGGGTGGGCGTTGGGATGTGCATGTATGCTATATGCCAACATGCATGGACGCCAAGGCGTGCCACCATCTGATACGGCCACTGCGTGTGCCGCGCGCCTTAGAGCAGAGCATAGGTTGACCTACAGGTTATCTGGATCTAAACCTACAGGTTCCTAAAATTTGATCACCATGACCTGGATCTTAACATGACCTATGTCCAGGTAGATCTGTACCTAAGGACCTGTACCTAGGACCTATAGGTCAACCTACCAAATGATCTGAACCTGTACATGTGCCCAGGTTGTTGACAGGTATGCACAGGTATGCAAGCTTTATGCATGAGTCTATGAGCTTTCAGTTGCACAGAGCATGCAGAGGATGTGGACCGGTCTGCGGGAATGTAGTTGGGTGCGGTGGGTGGTAGTTAAGTGTGCGCAAGTGCAGAGAAGCTGCTCGCGAGCAATGGAGACGGGTGTGCTCGAGTGCACAGGGACGTGGCTAGGAGCGCAAGGACATTGGGAGCACGAGATGGGGCAGAAGAAATGTCAATCTGGAACAGAGACTACATTGGTAGTATAAGACATCAGAGACTCTACGGGTGCATTTCCACTCTAGTTCAATCACTTCCACACTGCAGACACCCTTCCCGTGCGCAGATGAACCGGACTTGTGTGTACCTTTACCAGTGGGCGCTGACACCTTGCCCTTGCCCTTCTCCGCTGCGGACACCTTGCACGAGTCAGTAGATGCAGAAACACCAGGGTCCTGTGGAGCGGCGGACGTGGAGGGAGTCGAGGCGCTGGGGTCCTTCTTCTGGCTTATGGACTTCAGCTTCGCGATGGCGTTGCCTTCAGGGACGAGTTCAGGGATGTTCGCCCAAGAACCGAGAAGTGTGCTTGTGCGGATGGACTCGTCAGTAAGGCTATGGCGGTACTTGGACACCGTGAGTCCGCCGCGCAAGAAGGCACACTCAGCATCAGTTGATGCCACTGTAGACGACTGTTAGCAGCGCATATGGTAAATGTCATGCAAAGAGACTTACCTGGGATGGACAAGAAGTCCAAAGCCCCGCGCAAGGGCTTGTCGCTCGATGGTGCACGGTGTATCGGTGGCTGACGCGGACACAAGGACAACCTCCTGGTGTGCAAGGGGGTTGTCCACACTCGAGGAAGGCAGTTCCTTAAGGTACGCTTCAAAAGTGTCGGTGTACGATCCTGTGCGCCCAGCCCTGGAGATCGAGGCAAACATCCTCTGCCCACTGCTCATAGAGGGCGGCGCAGATGCCTGCTAGGTGGTTCAGTGAGAATTTTCACCACATGCACTCGAGAACGTACCTGGTTGCTGCCGGATGGCACGCTGTCCACAGACTGCGGCGCACTTTGTCGACCGACCGGGCGAGGAGCGGGAGGATGTGTCGCAGGCTTGGGCTTGTAGTATGTCTGCCACTCGTCCCGTGTGATCTTGACAGCCTTGTTCACCTACTCTGTAGGCCATTTGCGGAGGTGGAAATACTCGCGCTTGTAGCGGGGGTTTAGGACTACAAATGGACGAAGTTAGTGAGCTTATATAATAAAGCACAAGTGGATGTGTACGCACTCATGACAATATGGTATATAATGCTGTCGTCTGTGTATGAATAGTACTTGTCCAAGATGGTGCGCCCGCACTTTGCCGCCGCGTGCACCGCTGGCGCGAGCTGCGAGTCCTTGTCGACGTCGTCAACGTGGTCCGTCAGGAGGTCGATGTACGGGATCACCTTGTGGACCAAGGTGTGTCTGCTCTTGCAGATCTCGTTCGTTGCGTAAAAGAATGGCTACAAATGAAGAGGTTAGTATATGGTCTGTGCGCTCCACAGGAGACTGCATACCTCCAACAGGTCATATAGTTGCTTCACAATCTCCCACTCATTGTCTATGAGGGCGAAGCGGCAGAGCTGGACACCCTGTGGCTTGTTGAAAGCCATCAGGTCGCAGAGATGTATTGAAAACAGGTTACGGCAGCGAGCGAAGCGTAGGCGACACAAGATAAAACAACTGGCATTCTATAGTGCTACAGACCGGAGCGTGTACACGACGTAAGTAAGGTTTCGGCGAGTTCTGAGCTGTACAGCTGTCGGAATGCGTGGACCGGATGGGCGGCTATTTACACTTCAACAAGATGTCCTAGGACCTCTCGCATGTTGAGTGCACACTTGAGAACCTCCGTCATCCTGTTCCAGCATGTTCGTACTGGACGCACGAGCACTGAACAAGGCAGTTCAGCTTCTGCTGCGAGGCGTGCAAGCTCGGCGCGGACTGTTGGGCTATGCCAGACCTTCTTGAAGAACTTGGTGATCTATGTGGGTATGAGCAACTGCTAGCTGAAGACAGTCACCCACATACCGTCTTGAGAGCCATATGGCCGTTGCGTACCTCCTGCGGGGTAATCTCGGAGTTCTCATTGTCATCCTCGTATTTGTCAATGACAGCCTCGTTGGCTGTTAGGGACGTGTTGCACAGTAAGTCCGGAGCTCGGAGTTCCGGGGTCTGGAAGGGTCCGGAGTTCGGACGGAGGTACAGCACAGAGGGGAAGGACTTCAGCGAAGCTATTAGCAACACTCTGAGACCTCCTGCGGTTGTCCTTAATTTCCGAAGGAACAAAGGGTCGGACTTGACCGGAGTTCGGAGCTGACTAAGCAGAACTAAGTCCGAGACGATCGGAGCAGAACAGAGCAGAGGATGAAGAGGATGGCGAGGGACGAAGTCCAAGGGGACTTGTCGAGCGAGCAAGATCAAACGAAGTCCGATGTCCAGAGTTCTGGAGCACATAGGCTCGGAGTTACCAGATTCGGAAGGTCGGAGTTCGGAGGTCGGAATGGAGGTAGACCAAAAGAATAGATTGACAAGGGGTAGTGTGAAGGAAGGTAACAAGATGGTAACAAGAGGGGTAAACGAGGAGGGTAACAAGAAGGGTAATGAGGAGGTAACAAGATATCCGAACTGAGGTACTACAGCATTCCGGGCGCGTATTTAAGGAACAGAACCTTATTGTTAAGGAAGACAATAAGAGTGTAAGGAATATCAAATCCGGAGTTCTGAAATTCCGGAGTTCCAAAGTCCGGGGACAAAGACAATAGAGCTTATTGTTAAAGGACAAGATGACGGAAGGATGGTGCAATCATAAGGGAACATACACATGAAATCTTGGAGTTCTGGAGTGCGGAAATTCCGGAGATCGGAGGTCCGGAGCGCAGGAACTTGGAGTATGAAGTCTGAAGCACGGGAATTCCGGAGTTCAGAGCGGAGGTGCGCACGGAGCGTAACAGGATATCATCCGGGTCACACAGGCCGTGATGGCAGGTGAGGTTGCTGGTGGATTCCTCATAATCAATGCAGTCGATATGCTTTGAAAGATGTCTACACATGTGGGTTAGTGAACGCAAGTTATGCGGGGAGAGAGAGCGTACTTTTTGCATACAAAGCAATGTACAATCACACCATTTGCCCGTAGATGATGTGGGGCTCCTCAAAATGCTTGTAAATGTCAGAGCACCACTTCTTCTGAAGCTTAGCTGGTAGAGCGTCAGATGGGAGTCAAGCTGGACAACTGAGAGATGGACTTACCCAAGATCTGCTCCGGGTTCATGCCAGGGTACTTGGCAAGGAAGGTTGCGCGCTTCTGGGAGGGCTTGCCCTGGCTCGTGGTGTGCACTCACTCGGCAACAGCAGTGACAGGCTCATCCGCATTGGTCGCAGCTGTACTGTCCGTGTCCAATGCATTAGCTACCAAAGCAGCCTGAGTTGACAACACAGACATGGCAGATGCAGCTGCTGCCAGGGTGCCCTTGTGTTACAACGGTCCGGGTGTCTCGGACATGGACTTTGATTGTGCCTCACCTATGCCTCACCTGCGCCTCATGTTACTGATGCGGATGGACTACATGCAGATACGGTACAGCTATGGTATGGACACCATGAGGCAGCACCTCATTGTTACAGTCCCGTAGGTAGCAGGCTTGCCTGCCCTAGTACGCACCGGTCCTGCATGGCTTCTATGAAAATTAGGACTCCTGGAGAACTGAGGATGTTTCTCAGCTCGACCTGGGGAGGCCAATTGTTTGTACATGTGGTGAGAGGATAGAGGAGGAGATATGTGGCCACCTTGTATGAGCAGCAGCCGGTGTGGCGTCTACAGGCCAAGTCGGTAGGTTCAATGACCAAACCTGGCCCCTTTTGTGCCCACAAACCGTGCCAATGAAGTGCTCACAGCCACAGTGCTGCATATGTACAACCTTCTGCCCGCGGTACGTCCTTGTCCTTTGTGTATGTTGTGTGCTATCATTAACACCCTCACAGATTATCTTTCATGATCCTACAGACATGGGCGCACTCACACCCAGCAAACTCACTCTATACGGCCCTGCTCACACCCAATCCACCCTCACCAGCATGTCCTTGACAGCTCGTGAGCGTGTGGCCACGCCTCTCCATCTGATCATCACCCGGCGCATCAGCACTGCTGCTTCTGCCATCGCAACTGCTGCCACTGCCGCCACTGCGTCCAGTACAACCATGGCACCAGCACCTAGTGGCTGTGCTATTGCTGAGGCTGACTCCGACAATGAGATGCCACCGCTTCTCTCTCCCACCAGTGCAGAGTTAGAAATAGGATACTTTTAAGTACTCTAGCTTTACATGTATACCCTACTTTGTACCTACATAGCATACACCTACTTGTCTGCATCTGTGCCATGTGGAACAACATGTCTTCATTGAATTTGCAGGGTTTAGAATTATAGTGAATGTTTGCAAACCTTGCAAATCCGGGTAACCTACGGAAGATCCAACAAAATCTGAAAGGCTGACCCAGATCTGTGCCCCACCCGGTGTGCGGTCATCCAGATCCAGGTGAGCTGTAACCCGCAGCTCCGGGTCCTGCTTTCCGTTGATCAACCTGTGCAAAGATCCACATCCGTGTTCAGCCTTATCACTGAGTGTCAGGCGCGTGTTTGTGCGACGTCTCAACTTCCTCGTCGCGTCAAATGCGCCCCGGTACCACCTCATGAACTCATCCGCACATCATTCCGCCGATATTTGGCACCGTGGGCATTGGGCCATGGTTTCCGCGATCTGATCTAGATAACACCGTGAAAGGTGACTAAATGAAAAACTAATGAAATCACCAAACATGGATGGATATTTGATGTAATAGCTTCACAGGTTACATCTTTCCTGTTACCTTCTGTGGCTCACACATGTGATGCATGATCCTATCCTGATTTGATACAACCAAAGGGCCATGTGGAATCTGATAGAAGCCAGTGGCTTCATATGTTGTTATACCACAATGGTTTCATTGAAGTTATAGTTGAACTGGCCTGTATATCTTTGTAAGAGAAGACCATCTGATAACCTTGATCTTTGTTTGGATGCTATAACAATGTTGAAGAACATCACTTTGTGAGCTTGTTGAATATAATGTTTGAATGGCATTTGCAAGATTATGATGAATAAGATCTCACTATAAAACCTGAACAAAGTGAAACAAAGGTCAAAGAAAGACCAGCCTGGTTTTTTACGTTTATGTGTGAGATATGTTTGATTGTGGTTGCATCATTCATCCACTATAGAAACATGATGCTTGCAGTGTCAAAGCACTGCAGGATACCAGATAATCTCTTCATAAACACCAAGGTTCGAGAACTCATTGAAACCCTATTTTCTCTCAGTGTTCTGATTTTATTAGAACTTATAATGAGAGCATTGCATGAAACCTTTTGTAATGGGTTCTTGATGGATGTTCTGTGCTTGAGGATTCTATGTAAACTAAGATCAACGTGGTATTGGTGTGTGCACTGTGACTAATGACGCTCATTATATGTTATATTGATTCTTGTTAACATCTCAATGTTTTCAAACATATTGCAAGGTGCCACATCTGCCACTCCAGACATGTAGGTTAGCTCTGAGCATTGGAAAACAGATGTTTATTTTCCTACACACGCACACATTACACACAATTTTAGCTAAAACACTGTAATAGACCCCTAAGTGAAAACTCCGTTTTTAGGGTACAGTAAACCAATAAAGGCCTGCCACTCAGCATAAACCATGTTGGCAATATGATCAACATATATGTAATGACTAATAATAACCAGTTATGGACCAGTCAAAGACTGGGACCTAATATCTATTATTCAATCAATCAAGAATCAATCTTAATGTGCAGTATACAATCATTTATGACCTATCACTTTACAGCTAAGGGTTGAATATCAAAAACTAACAGTGAACACATATTCTTCAATCAATCAAGTATCAACCCTGATGTACACTATACAATCATCTTTGGCCTATTACTATAAACATTTGTTAAGGGTTGTGCTGTAGAGAGTTGAGACTGACTTGTGTGCCAGTTAGAGGTTGAAACCTAACATTGCCGCATATCATTCAATTAATCAGGTACCAATTTCAATGTATAGTATACAGTGATTTGATACTAGATGCTTCCACGTTTCCTGTAAATACCTATGCCCTTGTGGCCAGCACAATCCAGATTCCCCTTGGCTTGGACTCTATTTTCTCTCAAAGAATTCTCAGTGACTCTGTGAAGATCTGCAAACCCTGCAAACCCTGTGAAGATCCACTGGCAAATAGTGCTGAGCATTGTGATAGCATTGCAGAATACCTGCAAGACCTGACACAGGCAGAAAAATTTCTTCTGCATACATTGGTGATATGTCTAGACATGCATCAAAGGCTTATAGCCGAGGGGGAGAAGATGTTCCTGATGTCCTAGTTCCGCTGTGTATTGTGAGTGTCCTTCCAAAGTCTACGCGCTCCTATACCCCATATGACACTCCACCCCCACAAGGAGTGTCAGTGCAACTCCCTCCCACCAGGTCAGGAGAGATAAGCTTACTCAGCCCCTTCCTGCACCCTCTGTGTTTGTAGGGAACTCAGGATTGTACTCGGAATCCCCCGCTCACACAGGTCACCCCTTGGGTCTCGTCCTCTCGGCCCATCGACCCTGATGCCCTAGCGGCCATTATGGGAGGCTTGAGCACATCAACACTGCTCCAGTGTGGGGCCTCCAGCGTAGCACAACTCAGTTTAGGTGCAGCTTGTGGGTGCAGTGCCTCCAATGTGGTGCAACTCAGCTCGGGTGCAGCTTGTGAGCCTCAGACGTGGTGGGTGCTCATCAACATGTCTATCTAATACATGTAATCATTGGGTTTAGACTTTTCATGGACAATCAATACTAGACAATCTAAGTGATTATGATACAATAATTATGATTTTACTGCAGAATGGTTATTAGTCAACTAAGAATCTTCATATGTTCATATATGTATTCCCTACTATCAAGCCCTCAATTATCATCTACTATCTTAACAACTTATCTAGTTTAGAGTATCATTTACAAAAGTCAATTTAGAGGATACTACAGAACATCCAAAAGTGACCAGTGCCTGCAGATGGTTGGACTGCACTTGAGCTAGTGATGCACTCAACCAACCGGTAAGGACAGAAGTGCGTCCAAGTTCAGAGGCCCAGAGTGCTGGAACTCAGAGTATCTAGAGCTCAGAGTTGAAGTGCACACAGAGTGTGACACTTATTTACATAGTTATGTGCTACTAATGTTCATATGCAATCATCCACCTGTAGTTGAATATACTCACTCAATCAAATGCAAAGTTCAATACCAGCTTTTGCTCCACTCTCCCACAGTGCACGGGGGTTTTCAGACTCTTGTCCACACTCCAGTCTCCATAGCACAACCTTTGACAAATGTGTATAGTGATAAGCCAAAGACAATTGTATAATGTACATCGAGGTCGATACTTGATTGATTAAATAATATGTGTCAGCTGTTAGTTTTTAATATTCAATTCTCAATCATATAGTGATAGGCCATGAATGATTGTATACTCCACATTAAGATTAACTCTTGATTAATTGAATGATAGATGTTAGGTTTCAATTTTTGACCAGTCCATGACTGATTCTTGTTGGTCTTTACACATATGTTAATCACATTGCCAATATAGTTTATGGCTCATCTATGGCAACACCTGTGATGGCATTAGGGGTTTCTCCAATGCTGACTGGGGCTCTATTATCAAACATTGCCACTTCATCTTAGGCTATGTTTATTATGTAAATCCGGAGGCGGGCGACCATTGCCCATGCCGGCGCCTCAGTGTAAGCGTGGACGGGAGCGTTAATGGTGTCGCGAGGAGTCTATATCGGGGTTCCAAGAAACACCCAACGATAGTCACGGTGAGATCCCGCCTGAAAGCCTTCACGAAACTGGCAGGGTATCGTGCATCAGCTAAGCCCCAAGGTCGACGTATCAAGTACGCTCGCATGGACTGATATGTACCTCTGGGATTCGAGTCCCCCTTGGATGCGTGCTCCATGGCGCCGACGCTGCATGAAGGTGATCAGAGATTAATGCGAGAGCACGGGAGTATGTGGAGTCCAGTAGCAGTCCTCAGAGGCCGAGTACGATTGTGTGTTCAGCGAGGGCAGGACGACATGGCGGTGGAGCATATTTCGCAGCAGCACACGATTGAGGCGGGGTGGGAACGGGATGAAAGAACAAGGCCAGCTACAAGCCGCAGCGTCCAGGGTTAAATCAGC